CAATTTTAGCCAATCACAGGACAATATTTCCGTGTAAAGGGTTAATCCAGCGACAGTTCCAAGAGTAAATACGAAGTTTTAGAAGGATACTTAGTTCTAACTAAGAATAAGATTATATCCAATGACGTTTGAGTGAACTTGAGTCCGTGGTAATGGATTTTATTTGCAGTTTGTTTAGTATTACTAGAAGGTGACGTTATGTCTCGTTTATGAATATCTGAGCTCTTTAACTGAAGTATTTTTACCGGAAGTTGCGTGTAGCATGCATGACCTACAGTCAAGTAGCAGTTCCCAATTGAGATAAACAGGGTGCATTTTCGATAAGAATACGACGTTGTGATAAGATAATATGTTCTATAAAGAAAAGGAATGATATTTACAAGCCATTCAAGTGCATTTGAGTCCAAAGTTACGCATAATAAAGACAGTAGGTCCGGTATATGATTCAATTTAGTACCAGTGATTATCGCTAGAGGCCGTCTGTGTGAAAACGACATTTATGAATATCTTGAGCTCATTAACTAAAGTAATACCAATAGCTGGCGGCTAACGCCTTAGCTAAAAACTATAAATACAAATGCTGGGCAAAAAGAGACAAATGCAGTCATGATATTAGAATTGATCCTGGGGCCTGGCCACAACCCTAGGGACCTATTTTCAGAGTCACAGCTTAGAAACAGTTGAGATCCCCAAAACATAAAATTGCTGGGCATGAACAATCTTATACAGATATGCTACAAGGATTGGCCTTGGGGTCTGGCATATTCCCTTGGATCTCAGTTGGAGAATATTTTGCCATGTTTGCTTAGATATCCAGGTGACCGATGCAGGCCCTCTGGGCCTCTTGTTACAATTTTAACAAGGTACTGCTTGTATGTTTGTTTATGCTTGGTTATAACTACCTGAGTGTTTGTGTAAATGATATCTGAATGAAGCTTCTAGTATTTGTCAATATAACCCAGAAATAACTGTCTTGCCTTAAAAATTCTTTTATTTATTTCACAAGCTGGGATTGCTACTATTTACTACAAGATACCTTGTTAAAATGTTCAGTTTCCAAAGCATCTGTTTGTCTTATTGCATATGATACTATGTTGTCCTGACGCCATTATCATCTTACTTTACCGACAGATTGACCAGCAGATTGAGGATATGTTTGCCAGTGTTAAGAGAGTCACTGATGTGGCTAAGCCTACAGTACCTTCCCAGACTCCGCAACCGATGGCTGCAGCACCAACAGTCTCCAACCAACAAAAGCTTGAGCTGGCTAAACGCTTGGCTGCCAAGATCAACATGGCGAAGAAGATAGGGCCAGACGCCCAGGATATCACTCAGCAGGCTGCCAAGTCCATCTTAACTGGAGACGGAGCTGCTCCACAAGTGGCCGTAAGTCTCACTCCAACACTCAACACTGTCTCATCTCACTCCAACACTCAACACTGTCTCATCTCACTCCAACACTCAACACTGTCTCATCTCACTCCAACACTCAACACTGTCTCATCTCACTCCAACACTCAACACTGTCTCATCTCACTCCAACACTCAACACTGTCTCATCTCACTCCAACACTCAACACTGTCTCATCTCACTCCAACACTCAACACTGTCTCATCTCACTCCAACACTCAACACTGTCTCATCTCACTCCAACACTCAACACTGTCTCATCTCACTCCAACACTCAACACTGTCTCATCTCACTCCAACACTCAACACTGTCTCATCTCACTCCAACACTCAACACTGTCTCATCTCACTCCAACACTCAACACTGTCTCATCTCACTCCAACACTCAACACTGTCTCATCTCACTCCAACACTCAACACTGTCTCATCTCACTCCAACACTCAACACTGTCTCATCTCACTCCAACACTCAACACTGTCTCATCTCACTCCAACACTCAACACTGTCTCATCTCACTCCAATACTCAATAGTCTTGTCTCTGGTGCCAATTATTTCTCAGGATTTCTCATAACATCGAAAAAATTTGTATTTAACAAAATGGCTAGATAGATGTATGAAACACCAACATGAACTGGTATTTTTATGCCCAGGAGATGACCAAGTTACATATTGTGCATAAAGAAAGGACATCACATAGCAGTTTTTTAAATGAACATAGCTATACAGATATTAGTTAACTATGGACCAGTTTAAAAGGCGTGCTCAACTTGTGTTATTGAAGATTATGCTGTGTACATAGGATTTAGCCCCCTAAGCTACATACAACTGATGGTGTTGTATATATTCATGTTATTTTTCTGTTTACAGTCAAAGACGATAGCAGAACAAATGGCAGAGAAGATAAATGCCAAGCTTGGATACCGACCACAAACAGAAGAGGATGAGGGTGCAGACACTAATGCGGAGACTTTCAAACGCTACGAGGAAGAGCTGGAGATCAATGACTTCCCACAGACTGCACGCTGGAAAGTTACGTCAAAGGTCAGTCTCAATCAGGACTCTAGGGACTGTATACAGAGAAATGTTCGCCAAGCCAATTGTTTGCCCTTAATTGATAGAATATGTATTTAACTCTGTGTGGACTTTGCCCTTTACTATGCTATTCTTTGTATTAATATTCACAGATCTGATAAATTCACCACGTTACAGAGGGTGAAACAGAGCAAATCAACTTGGCATCAAGATTGGAATATATAAGTGTTGCTGAATTGTTGTTCTTCACTGCCTAAACATATGACTAATGTATGAAAGGGATTTTATGTAAACTAGCTACAATTATTAAAATCAACAATCTGACTTGCTTTCATATCAGGAGGCTCTTGCCCAGATCTGCGAGTACTCGGAAGCTGGGATCACGGTGAGAGGAACATATTTCTTACCTGGCAAAGAAGTGAAGGAGGGTGAGAGGAAACTGTACCTAGCTATAGAGGCTACTAGTGATATGGCTATACAGAAGGCCAAGAAGGAGATAACGCGTCTCATCAAGGAAGAGCTCATCAGGCTGGTTAGTAGACTACACTCGCACAAACTCTTACCTCTCAATGTCGTATATAGTGTTATAATGTGGTACGGGAACCATAATCATCCTCAGGTTAACAAATCATGGTATCAACCTGAACAGATGTTAATAACTGCTTTGTTGTATAACACCTAATTACATACAAGTTAAAAGACATTAATCCCAATGGGCCAGATGGACGTTTCTGTAGGGTGAAGAAATTGAGATTAATCTTCTATATTGAGAGCTCAAAACATATACTTAAGTAAGAGCTCTTAGACAAATGGAACCTTCAAAGCAAAAACTTTCCACTCAAAATTTTATTTTGAAAATGAAATCCCAGTTTGTGCTATTTTTAGGTGCATACTCATGAATATATCACCCTGGCAGTGATATTAAATATATCACCCTGGCAGTGATATTAAATATATCACCCTGGCAGTGATATTAAATATATCACCCTGGCAGTGATATTAAATATATCACCCTGGCATCCAGATATTATCCTGCAATTTACAGCAAAGTGTATGTAGCCATTATCAACTGCTACTTCTAGGTGTATGCAGTGTATTAACTTCTAACATTTATTGATATTACAGTTCACCATTCAGGGACATAACAGGAGTATTTGATAAACTTTTTACTATCCTATTTATCTTTTCAAAATATACAAAAATATGTCACAAGGATTAAATGTAAATCATTTTAGAATGATCCAAAACGGACAGGTTCCAAGACAGAACGTTTATTTTGTTGAGATAATTGCTACTTTGCTTTTATTTTACAGCAAACGTCATACCAGCCAATGAATAAGGGACGCTACAAGGTTGTATAGACTCCAGACCAGAGGTGTCGTTGTTTGTGGACGATAACAGCAGCTACAAAACCGTGTTTATGGACTGTAATATCGGTTAAAGTGTGCCTGTTGTTGACGGTACCTGTTAGCTTGTATGGACTGGATTGTCCTGTTACAGTACTACAATTTAGGACAGTAATATCTTAACATGGTTTTCATCTCAGAAAACTAATACAAGACACTAATGTGTACCAGTACATAATGTAGAAACTTAGGACTGGTACACAGATTTCTCTAAGGACTTCAAAACACTTTCTTTCTCCAAAAGCAATGCAATTAACATAAAATTTTAAAGAGTACCCCAACATGTATACCATGAACTTAAAATCATATCTGATATGTTGGTTTAGAGAATAATGTTATGACTCGTTACACTGTTGTCATTAAAACATGTGTATTTTACACTACTTTTTATGTTTTCTTTTGCAATGAATATTACTACCATTATATATTTTCATCAGAAATGCTTTTATCGCCACAAGCACCAGTAAAGAAGTGACTGTCTGGTGACTTGTAGTCGTCTGTCTATAGCTTGCTGGGATGAAGAGCAGTCAAGTTTATTTAAGGTCACAAGTAGCAAATGTGTTAAAACCTGGAATGGTAGCTAGCTTTCTATCAACTTTGTTTAAACAAATTTAAGCTTGACCTGGTAGGAAGTTCACAAATGTGCGATTTGTTTGCCAATATCATTGAATAACAGCACAACAGGTAATCGATACAGGCCTATAGGGCCTCTTATAACGTCTTTATCACAAAATCTCTACAAAGGTTTGGATTGCACAGAGTGTCGTATACAGAGTGTCGTATACACAGAGTAGATGTTTGTGATGTTAATCTGACCATTATTATTTATAAAAGAACATTGGTCTGGAACATTAAACATACAGGTACACTGTAGGATTGGGAGTGTCGGGAATTAACAGCTAGTCAACATCACCTATCTATCCACTTAAAACATCTCATTGAAAATATTATCCGGAGCATTACTACCATTTGAAGCCCACCATCATCTATTCAAATCACTCTGCGTCCGTGGTCCGTCGTCAGTCCTTAAACAATTCTTGTTATCAGTATTTCTCCAGAAGTACTAGAGGGATCTTTCTCAAATTGTATATGTAGGTTCCCCTTGGTCCTTAGCTGTGCAGGGCAACTTTTGAGACCGATCAGATAAACAACATGGCCGACAGGCAGCCATCTTTGATTTTGATAGTGAAAGTTTAGGGATCTTTCTAAAAATTTAAATGCAAATTCCCCTTGTTCACTTGTTTTGCAGCAGTGCCTGAAATGGCCGGTCGCCAATAGAGATTAAAGTCTTGCTCGGGCGACCAAAAGTTGTCAAAAGTGAGGTAGTCACTGGCTCAACAAATTTATGAATTAAAGAAATTATAGTCCCTTCCACATTACCTGAGGGCAGTACATTTTTCAGTTGTCATTACTTTGATTTGAATCGAACTGTCCGTGATTTAGAAAATGTGATGATTTTCTGTGATGATTTGTTTTCAGATTTTCTATATAAATAGTCAGGGTGTCCTCTTTGAGGTGCGAGTGTTGTGTATTTCATTTGGAAATAATAAAGACCTGAATGGAGTGTATCATGCCAGGTTTTAACTAGGGTTGAAGAATTAAAAATATGAAGCTTTATTCTGTTTTACATATTACAAACATTGTCATGTCATTGTGTTAATTGCTGTGGAAATATTTCTTCCCAGAAATATTTTGGCCACCAATATGTCATTTGGGCCCGTGCTTCAATTTTTTTACCCGCCCCAAAAAAGTATTTTGGGCCAGCCAATGCAGGTTCCCCACTTTCCTTTATTGTTCATGTTTACTTTTGAAACTGATCAGTTAAACAAAATGGCCTACCAGCAGCCATATTCGATTTTTGACATTGAAAGTTTGTTAGTACTTATTTCTCAGGAATAACTCGAGGGATCTTTCTCAAATTTGATATGTAGGTTCCCCTTGATCCCTCATTGTGCATATTATATTTTGAGACTGATCATAAAAACAAAATGGCTAAAGGAAGAACTAAACAGATCTTTCTCTTATTGCAATGATCGATTTTATTTCTTTCACATCAAGAACTGTACTAGTAAATATGTGAAATAAACTCACTTTGAAGGTTGGCTTTCATACACATTAGTATTAAGTTTAGATCAAAAGTTACCTCAAGGTGCATTTACTGTTAACATGACTCGATCAAACAGATTAGAGGAAAGGAAAGAAAAGATCGAACTGACAAAGAACTAATGAAGATGGTACAATGGTGGGCACCAAGATCCCACTGGGATCTCTTGTATTACCTCTAGTTGTACTCAACCCGATACACTTCAGTATGACAGAATGTCACACACTAAAAACAGGTTATCGTCGCCTCTAAAAGTATGGGGGAACTTTGTTTGCACTGTCCATCAGATTGTACAGGGCTTATCTTACTGCTCGGTCACCTACCAAACTTTGTATGGGAGTACCCTTTAGTGGCAGTGGCAGGACTGAAATCAAGTTTTATACAACACAAAATACAGTGTTACAGCCATTTGTTTATCATCTGTTGCATTGTCTAAGGCGTATCTCACATACTGTCACCTAAAATTGCTGAATACTGTATGCTAGTACATATATTTCTCAATATCGCAGCGTGTCACTTTCTGAAATGATTCTTGTACTCCACTTTATACAACATTTGAGTAGTTTGCTCATTTTCTATATCAAAGTCTGTCCTGTGGTGGGAAACTACTGAACCTGTTCAGAGAATAATTCCCCTGTAACACGCCAGTCAGGAAACAGATTGTGCCACAATACATTTGTTTAATATATACGTAGGAATTATAAAACCCTACCAGATCCGACAGTCCTTGCTTTTTGTTTTACTCCTAATAACCCTATCATTTTAAAACACTTACATCTTCCATCTTTTTTCAAATATAAAAATCAACTCCAAGTCCAAAGTAATGAAAGTTTATTTTTCACAAAAATGTACATACTCAGTATGTAGTGTGTATCCAAAAATCAAATACACTCACTGGCCCCAGTCGGTCAAAGCTTGACTCAACTAATCCTTTCTTCAAATCTTCTCAATTATTTAATTTCTTAAAATATAGCATTACAGCTTTTATCTATTTCTCATTGAATCTCGCTACACAACTCTTCAAGCTTTGAGCGACTGGGGTCTGGTCAATAATGACACACCAACATATAGCAAAACAACAATAAACAAGAGGCCCATGGGCCTTAACGGTCACCTGAGTCTACAGTATTTATTTTTGTTGTTGAAATATGTACCAATTTGAGTAAAAAATAGTATAATGTTAACTTAACTTTGTCAGGACCATGAGCTGATCATTCCTAGACCAATTTTAAGTGAGATCGGCCTATTAGAACTTAGTAGCAAAATAGCGGCCATGGCAGCCAAATTGTATTTCTGATTGACCCGAAAAATAACAACACTTTGTCAGGACCATGAGGCGATCATTCCTACCAACTTTCAGTTCAATCGGCCCAGCAGAACTTGACTTTAAGTTTGAAATGTAAAATGTTAACAGACGACGGACGACGGACGACGACGGACAACGACGGACGAAAACAGATAGCAATAGGTCACTTGAGCTAAAGCTCAGGTGACCTAAAAAACTTGCCAAGCAAAGAAAATCACTATAAAACATTGAGACCATTGCACACAATTGTCTATATTACTGCAACAAATATAGGGGGGAGACAGATGTGGGTGGAATGGTTTTCAATATTTATCTATATTGAAAGATTTTGTTTAAAAATGTTTACTGACCGTATGTAATACGAGATGGTTACAATAAAAAAAAAGTCCTCGTGAGAACTTTCTATCCTAGGAAATACAGCTATATAACAAATGCTGGAGTCTTCAGGCTGCTAACTGACACTTACCCGGGTAATCAGGTAAATGGAGGACAGAAAGTCAATTCATTTGAATCTGTTAATACATATACAATATACACATACTGGCTTGAATTTTCATAATTTACTCAATATGAAATGGCATTCTTAACATGAGGACACAGGGCTATAAATACATACAAACAGGGGAAATCAGTAAATAAACACAATAGGGGAAATGGAATAAAATACGTACAATTAAGGAAATGAAAACAAATCATACAAATATTATCTGTAACTGGAATGCAACAAAACGAAAAAAGCCTACAGTTCCATAAAAATAAAATATTGTAGAAAAATATTGGAAGAAAACCATTTACGGTTTAGCTAGGGAGTCTGCTGATTGATATCACATAGTAAAGTATAGAAACTGTTCACAAAACCTGACAGGTTAATATGTCTCTCGGACCCACACTAGATAATACCTAATCCCACAACCTTACAGGTTAATATGTCTCTCAGACCCACACTAGATAATACCTAATCCCACAACCGTATATTGAGTGTAACTACCTAAAAAACGAAATAGTACAAAATTCATCTATACAAATTGAGCAAAAACATTACATAAAGCACTTTCCAACTTCTAAAAAACATACGTAAATAATAAAAATATATGGGTGTAAAAGCATTGGGGATTTCTCTCATGTGCTAGGAACAATCCGGTCACACAACTTTGATACTGTCAAGCCGTCTGCTCCCTCAAAACTGTTAAGCCGTCTGCTTCCTCAAAACTGTCAAGCCGTCTGCTTCCTCAAAACTGTCAAGCTGTCTGCTTCCTCAAAACTTTTCAGGGGTAAATCCGAGTGGACTTGTATGGTTTGTTCATACCTTTGAAATCTTGACCAACAGTGCTTCCAAATTATGGAAAGGCCACAAGTTTTCTCAACTAATCTGGTTTAGATAGAATAATACAGTAACTGTGGTAGTAATACGAGATCCTAAACAATGCAGTTACTGTAGAACTCATACAAGATCCTAAACAATACAGTTACTGTAGTAGTCATACGATATCTTAAACAATACAGTTACTGTAGTAGTCATACGAGATCCTTAACAATACAGTTACTGTGGTAGTCATACGAGATCCTAAACAATACGGTTACTGTAAAACTCATAAGAGATCCTAAACAATACAGTTACTGTAGACGTCATACGAGAACCTAAACAATACAGTTATTGTAGTAGTCATACAAGATCCTAAATAATACGGTAACTGTAGAACACATACGTGATCCTAAACAATACAGTTACTGTAGAAGTCATACAAGATCCTAAACAATACAGTTACTGTAGAACTCATACGAGATCCTAAACAATAGTTATTGTAGAAGTCATACGAGATCCTAAACAATACAGTCATGCAGTAGTCATACGAGATCCTAAACAATACAGTTACTGTAGTAGTCATACGAGATCCTAAACAATACAGTTACTGTAGAAGTCATACGAGATCCTTAACAATACAGTTACTGGAGAACTCATACGAGATCCTAAATAATACAGTTACTGTAGAAGTCATACAAGATCCTTAAACAATACAGTTACTGGAGAACTCATAAAAGATCCTAAAACAATACAGTTACTGTAGAACTCATACAAGATCCTTAACAATACAGTTACTGTAGAAGTCATACGAGATTCTAAACAATACAGTTACTGTAGTAGTCAAACAAGATCCAAAACAATACAGTTACTGTGGTAGTCATACGAGATCCTAAACAATACAATTACTGTAGAAGTCATACAAGATCCTTAAACAATACAGTTACTGGAGAACTCATAAAAGATCCTTAAACAATACAGTTACTGTAGAACTCATACAAGATCCTAAACAATACAGTTACTGTATTAGTCATACGAGATCCTTAACAATACAGTTACTGTAGTAGTCATACGAGATCCTAAACAATTCAGATGCTGAGGTAGGCATACGAGATCCTAAACAATACAATTACTGTAGAAGTCATACAAGATCCTTAAACAATACAGTTACTGGAGAACTCATAAAAGATCCTTAAACAATACAGTTACTGTAGAACTCATACAAGATCCTAAACAATACAGTTACTGTATTAGTCATACGAGATCCTTAACAATACAGGTACTGTAGAAGTCATACGAGATCCTAAACAATACACTTACTGTGGGAGTCATACGAGATCCTAAACAATACAGATACTGTGGTAGTCATACGAGATCCTAAAAAATACAGTTACTGTAGAAGTCATACAAGATCCTAAACGATACAGTTGCTGTAGTAGTCATACGAGATCCTTAACAATACAGGTACTGTAGAAGTCATACGAGATCCTAAACAATACACTTACTGTGGGAGTCATACGAGATCCTAAACAATACAGTTACTGTGGTAGTCATACGAGATCCTTAACAATACAGTTACTGTAGTAGTCATACGAGATCTTTAACAATACAGTTACTGTAGAAGTCAAACGAGATTCTAAACAATACAGTTACTGTAGTAGTCAAACAAGATCCAAAACAATACAGTCATGTGGTAATCATACGAGATCCTAAACAATACAGTCATGTGGTAGTCATACGAGATCCTAAACAATACAGTTAATGTAAAACTCATAGGAGATCCTAAACAGTACAGTTACTGTAGAACTCATACAAGATCCTAAACAATACAGTTACTGTAAAACTCATAGGAGATCCTAAACAATACAGTTACTGTGGTAGTCATACGAGATCCTAAACAATACAGTTAATGTAAAACTCATAGGAGATCCTAAACAATACAGTTACTGTGGTAGTCATACGAGATCCTTAACAATACAGTTACTGTAGAAGGCATACGAGATTCTAAACAATAGTTACTGTAGTAGTCAAACAAGATCCAAAACAATACAGTCATGTGGTAGTCATACGAGATCCTTAACAATACAGTAACTGTAGAAGGCATACGAGATTCTAAACAATACAGTTACTGTGGTAGTCATATGATATCTTAAACAATAGTTATCGTAGAACTCATACGAGATTTTTAACAATACAGTTACTGGAGAACTAATACGAGATCCTAAACAATACAGATACTATAAAACTCATAGGAGATCCTAAACAATACAGATACAGAAGAAGTCATACGAGATCCTAAACAATACAGTTACTGTGGTAATCATATGATATCTTAAACAATAGTTATTGTAGAACTCATACGAGATTCTAAACAATACAGTTACTGTAGAACTAATACGAGATCCTAAACAATACAGTCATGTAGTAGTCATACGAGATCCTAAACAATACGGTTACTGTGGTAGTCATACGAGATCCTAAACAATACAGTTACTGTGGAAGTCATATGATATCTTAAACAATAGTTATTGTAGAACTCATACGAGATTCTAAACAATACAGTTACTGTAGAAGTCATACGAGATCCTAAACAATACAGTTACTGTGGTAGTCATACGAGATCCTAAATAATACAGTTACTGTAAAACTCATACGAGATCCTAAACAATACAGTTACTGTAGAAGTCATACGAGATCCTAAACAATACAGTTACTGTAGTAGTCATACGAGATCCTAAACAATACAGTTACTGTGGTAGTCATATGATATCTTAAACAAGAGTTATTGTAGAACTCATACGAGATCCTAAACAATACAGTTACTGTAAAACACATACGTGATCCTAAACAATACAGTTACTGTAGAAGTCATACGAGATCCTAAACAATACAGTTACTGTGGTAGTCATATGATATCTTAAACAATAGTTATTGTAGAACTCATACGAGATCCTAAACAATACAGTTACTGTAGTAGTCATACGAGATCCTAAACAAAACAGTTACTGTAGAAGTCATACAAGATCCTAAACAATACAGTTACTGTAGAAGTCATACAAGATCCTAAACAATACGGTTACTGTAGAAGTCATATGATATCTTAAACAATACAGTCATGTAGTATAACTAAGTTACAATGCACATCAGTAAGACTGTAAACTAACCAACGCTGTACATCAGTAAGACTGTATAACTAAGTTACAATGTACATCAGTAATACTATAACTAAGTTACACTGTACATCAGTAAGATACAGTTACTGTGGTAGTCATACGAGTGGCTATACGGTACAGTTACTGTAGAAGTCATACGAGATCCTGAACAATACAGTCATGCAGTAGTCATACGAGATCCTAAACAAAACAGTTACTGTAGAAGTCATACGAGATCCTGAACAATACAGTCATGCAGTAGTCATAGGAGATCCTAAACAATACAATCATGCAGTAGTCATACGAGATCCTTAACAATACAGTTACTGTAGAAGTCATATGATATCTTAAACAATACAATCATGCAGTAGTCATACGAGATCGTAAACAATACAGTTACTGTGGTAGTCATACGAGATCCTTAACAATACAGTTACTGTGGTAGTCATACGAGATCCTTAACAATACAGTTACTGTAAAACTCATAGGAGATCCTAAACAATACAATCATGTAGTATAACTAAGTTACAAGGTACATCAGTAAGACTGTGTAACTAAGTTACAATATACAATACAGTTACTGTAAAACTCATAGGAGATCCTAAACAATACAATCATGTAGTATAACTAATTTACAATGTACATCAGTAAGACTGTATAACAATACAGTTACTGTAAAACTCATAGGAGATCCTAAACAATACAGTTACTGTAGAAGTCATACGAGATCCTGAACAATACAGTCATGCAGTAGTCATAGGAGATCCTAAACAATACAATCATGTAGTATAACTAATTTACAATGCACATCAGTAAGACTATAACTCAGTTATAATGTACACCAGTAAGACTATACCTAAGTAACAATGTACACCAGTAAGACTGTATAACAATACAGTTACTGTGGTAGTCATACGAGTGGCTATACGGTACAGTTACTGTAGAAGTCATACAAGATCCTAAACAATATGGTTACTGTAGAAGTCATACGAGATCCTAAAGAATACAGTTACTGTAGTAGTCATACGAGATCCTTAACAATACAGTTACTGTAAAACTCATAGGAGATCCTAAACAATACAATCATGTAGTATAACTAAGTTACAATTAGTAGTCATACGAGATCCTTAACAATACAGTTACTGTGGTAGTCATACGAGATCCTAAACAATACAATCATGTAGTATAACTAAGTTACAATATACATCAGTAAGACTGTATAACTAAGTTATAATGTACACCAGTAAGACTGTGTAACTAAGTTACAATGTACATCAGTAAGACTATAACTAAGTTACAATATACATCAGTAAGACTGTATAACTAAGTTACACTGTACATCAGTAAGACTGTATAACTAAGTGACACTGTACATCTGTAAGACTGTATAACTAAGTTACAATGTACATCTGTAAGACTGTATAACTAAGTAACAATGTACATCAGTAAGACTGTATAACTAAGTAACAATGTACATCAGTAAGACTATAACTAAGTTACAATATACATCAGTAAGACTGTGTAACTAAGTTACAATGTACATCAGTAAGACTGTATAACTAAGTTACACTGTACATCAGTAAGACTGTATAACTAAGTTACACTGTACATCTGTAAGACTGTATAACTAAGTTACAATGTACATCTGTAAGACTGTATAACTAAGTAACAATGTACATCAGTAAGACTGTATAACTAAGTTACAATGTACATCAGTAAAACTTTGTATACAAAGTTACAATGTACATCAGTAAGACTTTGTATACCAAGATACAATGTAAAAGAAGAATGAGGTTAAACTCTTCCTCCTCTGTAATGTCTGTAAGAGATTCTATTGAACAAGTAAAGTAAGAATGAGGATAAACTCTTCCTCCTCTGTAATGTCTGTAAGAGATTCTACTGAACAAGTTAAGTAAGAATGAGGATAAACTCTTCCTCCTCTGTAATATCTGTAAGAGATTCTACAGTAAAAAGAGAGTAAAAAGAAACCTCCCTCCTTATTTATATTAAATAACATTCTATTGTACAAGTCAGGAAGAAGATGTAATCTCAGTAATTCGTCTTTGAAGCTTTGTTCTTACATTAACCCTAGTCATGCTACACAAACAAAATGAAGCATTCAACATGTCAATGTAATCTGCACATAAAACTTTTATAGGAAATAATAGGAATATTGGTGAAAAAATGGTCAACGTTACACACTGTTTACATTTATATATTATCTTTAAACATTTCTTTCAGGTTGATATGACAGTTGAGATTAAAAATCATAGTTAGATATTTTGTTTCATTTAAAAAGAATGGTTGAATTGATTTTATTTGCATAACCATGTGATACACAACCTATTACTTCATCAGACATGAAAGTTCCTTTGTGTTACAAACATCTACCTAGTGACCACCATGTCGGGCCACTGCGGCTACTCTTTGAATATAAATATAGTAATAAATCTAAGCAGTGAGTTTAACAACTCTGGAAGGTGTTAAACAAACACTGATATATTGAGGATATTAACATTTTGACAAATCTATGGCAATTAACGGATTCAGCCGACGTACGCTTGGCAGCCATTTTAGAGTGACACCTGTTGACTACAAAGCCTGGTAGAGGTCGCTGTTGGTAGCAGTGTACCAACAGCGATTAATTTCCACTCGTCGTATAAAGTAGTATGTCAGCAAAAATCCAACCACCTGTAATAGAAAAAGAGATTCACTAACATTTTTTTATGTTTTAGACGTAAAGGCAGATATAGACGATTCTTGGTTATGTATGTTTTAGATGTAAAGACAGATATAGATGATTCTTGGTTATGTATGTTTTAGATGTAAAGACAGATATAGAAGATTCTTGGTTATGGATGTTTGAGATGTAAAGACAGATATAGATGATTCTTGGTTATGTATGTTTGATATGTAAAGACAGATATAGATGATTCTTGGTTATGTATGTTTTAGATGTAAAGACAGATATAGATGATTCTTTGTTATGGATGTTTGAGATGTAAAGACAGAAATAGACGATTCTTGGTTATGTATGTTTGATATGTAAAGACAGATATAGACGATTCCTGGTTATGTATGTTTTAGAGGTAAAGACAGATATAGATGATTCTTGGTTCTGTATGTTTGATATGTAAAGACAGAAATAGACGATTCTTGGTTATGAATGTTTAAGATGTAAAGACAGATATAGAAGATTCTTGGTTATGTATGTTTTAGACGGAAAGGCAGATATAGACGATTCTTGGTTATTTATGTTTTAGCTGTAAAGACAGATATAGATGAGTCTTGGTTATGTATGTTTGATATGTAAAGGCAGATATAGACGATTCTTGGTTATGTATGTTTTAGACGGAAAGGCAGATATAGACGATTCTTGGTTATTTATGTTTTAGCTGTAAAGACAGATATAGATGAGTCTTGGTTATGTATGTTTGATATGTGAAGACAGATATAGACGATTCTTGGTTATGTATGTTTGATATGTGAAGACAGATATAGACGATTCTTGGTTATGTATGTTTTAGATGTAAAGACAGATATAGATGATTCTTGGTTATTTATGTTTTAGATGTAAAGACAGAAATAGACGATTCTTGGTTATGAATGTTTAAGATGTAAAGACAGATATAGAAGATTCTTGGTTATGTATGTTTTAGACGTAAAGGCAGATATAGACGATTCTTGGTTATTTATGTTTTAGATGTAAAGACAGATATAGATGATTCTTGGTTATATATGTTTTAGATGTACAGACAGATATAGATGATTCTTGGTTATGTCTAGGCAGTCATACTTGTATGCTGAGTTCTATGCAATTATCAAACATCATGTAAGTTACGTCTGGTAGGGATGATGTGTCGGTGGGCTGTGACATGGTGTACATTGTGAAGCACAGAGTCACAGTGACACTAACTGTAACGATTCCCTAAGTGTTACACACAGAGTCACAGTGACACTAACTGTAACGATTCCCTAAGTGTTACACAGAGTCACAGTGACACTAACTGTAACGATTCCCTAAGTGTTACACAGAGTCACAGTGACACTAACTGTAACGATTCCCTAAGTGTTACACAGAGTCACAGTGACACTAACTGTAACGATTCCCTAAGTGTTACACAGAGTCACAGTGACACTAACTGTAACGATTCCCTAAGTGTTACACAGAGTCACAGTGACACTAACTGTAACGATTCCCTAAGTGTTACACAGAGTCACAGTGACACTAACTGTAACGATTCCCTAAGTGTTACACAGAGTCACAGTGACACTAACTGTAACGATTCCCTAAGTGTTACACAGAGTCACAGTGACACTAACTGTAACGATTCCCTAAGTGTTACACAGAGTCACAGTGACACTAACTGTAACGATTCCCTAAGTGTTACACAGAGTCACAGTGACACTAACTGTAACGATTCCCTAAGTGTTACACAGAGTCACAGTGACACTAACTGTAACGATTCCCTAAGTGTTACACAGAGTCACAGTGACACTAACTGTAACGATTCCCTAAGTGTTACACAGAGTCACAGTGACACTAACTGTAACGATTCCCTAAGTGTTACACAGAGTCACAGTGACACTAACTGTAACGATTCCCTAAGTGTTACACAGAGTCACAGTGACACTAACTGTAACGATTCCCTAAGTGTTACACAGAGTCACAGTGACACTAACTGTAACGATTCCCTAAGTGTTACACAGAGTCACAGTGACACTAACTGTAACGATTCCCTAAGTGTTACACAGAGTCACAGTGACACTAACTGTAACGATTCCCTAAGTGTTACACAGAGTCACAGTGACACTAACTGTAACGATTCCCTAAGTGTTACACAGAGTCACAGTGACACTAACTGTAACGATTCCCTAAGTGTTACACAGAGTCACAGTGACACTAACTGTAACGATTCCCTAAGTGTTACACAGAGTCACAGTGACACTAACTGTAACGATTCCCTAAGTGTTACACAGAGTCACAGTGACACTAACTGTAACGATTCCCTAAGTGTTACACAGAGTCACAGTGACACTAACTGTAACGATTCCCTAAGTGTTACACAGAGTCACAGTGACACTAACTGTAACGATTCCCTAAGTGTTACACAGAGTCACAGTGACACTAACTGTAACGATTCCCTAAGTGTTACACAGAGTCACAGTGACACTAACTGTAACGATTCCCTAAGTGTTACACAGAGTCACAGTGACACTAACTGTAACGATTCCCTAAGTGTTACACAGAGTCACAGTGACACTAACTGTAACGATTCCCTAAGTGTTACACAGAGTCACAGTGACACTAACTGTAACGATTCCCTAAGTGTTACACAGAGTCACAGTGACACTAACTGTAACGATTCCCTAAGTGTTACACAGAGTCACAGTGACACTAACTGTAACGATTCCCTAAGTGTTACACAGAGTCACAGTGACACTAACTGTAACGATTCCCTAAGTGTTACACAGAGTCACAGTGACACTAACTGTAACGATTCCCTAAGTGTTACACAGAGTCACAGTGACACTAACTGTAACGATTCCCTAAGTGTTACACAGAGTCACAGTGACACTAACTGTAACGATTCCCTAAGTGTTACACAGAGTCACAGTGACACTAACTGTAACGATTCCCTAAGTGTTACACAGAGTCACAGTGACACTAACTGTAACGATTCCCTAAGTGTTACACAGAGTCACAGTGACACTAACTGTAACGATTCCCTAAGTGTTACACAGAGTCACAGTGACACTAACTGTAACGATTCCCTAAGTGTTACACAGAGTCACAGTGACACTAACTGTAACGATTCCCTAAGTGTTACACAGAGTCACAGTGACACTAACTGTAACGATTCCCTAAGTGTTACACAGAGTCACAGTGACAATAACTGTAACGATTCCCTAAGTGTTACACAGAGTCACAGTGACACTAACTGTAACGATTCCCTAAGTGTTACACAGAGTCACAGTGACAATAACTGTAACGATTCCCTAAGTGTTAAGTGTTTGGTCTTGACATTGATCTTAATTACCTGTGGAATTGCACATCCCAGGGCAAAGGCTCCGACCAGATCAAGTCTGCTGCTAAGTAGGAAGGTGAAAGAGTTGATGCACCCATCAACATACACCCGGCCAGTCGGCGTCTACAAACACAACACACTGTCATTATGGTGGACGACTGGGTAGCTTAGTGAAATGTTTAAACTGAATTTAATCAAGTAGCATGAAAAGTAGGCTTTGTTTTCAGGTTTAATATGTTATTGATGTGAATTAAGATATCAAATGTTTAGATTGGAGTTAAGACAGCAAAACAGAATATGAAAATTATACAACTATTCTATTGTACACAATTTAAATCTCTCCAGGTTCCAGTTTTTAGAATATGCTTTCTGAAGTATAAAGTGTTTATGTTGAGTACTTACCGTATTGTTGAGACGAACACCATGGCCACACATACTCTCCCCAAAATCATTAAGCTACAATATCAACAGACATATGTTATAAACCAAAACATGTTCATTAACAGTTCAAAATAACAATTGTGTTCATTAACGGTTCAAAATAACAATTGTTTTTATCAATCTAGTTTAATTGTAAAAAAAATAGGTACGTTGATGACTTTTGATTGAAAGAATTATCACCATCTTAATCAATGCCACATTTTTCTCTTTCTGTCAACAATGAATACAAGCTACACACATAACTACAGGTCCTAGGTTACAGAGAGCAGAAGTCACTCACCCCTTGGGGTGTACAACAGGAGGCTGGAACACCACACGCCTCTGGGCTTGGTCCTGAGGTACACGCAAAATCTGGGTTGGTCTCGTAATCTCTGAAGGATGTGATACCACAACATCCAAACTGTTAAAATTCAAATAAGTCACCTGTATTTCTGACATGGAATAATGTATCAGAAGAATAAAAAGGAAGGATACATCTATTTTCAACAGATTGCATCATTTTACATGAAATTATAACCAACATTATTTTTGCAATAGTTACATATCAGCCAGAATAAGAAAGAAAATGAAAGTTTGTTCAGAGAAATCATGTTGTGTAAAGGTCTTTATTTCTGGCAATAAAAGTGAGGGCTTTTCCGTAATACAATGAAGAGGGCAAACCTTTCCTTAACATTTCTCTGAGTATGTCATATCACTGTACTCACTGTTGACTGTAGAGTGTCCATAGCAAGAGTTATCTCTGTACTGTCCG